CTGGAAGTTGTATGAAGAAATTGTTGATGATATATGAAAGAAAGACTCAGTAAGAGTTCAAAGCTTTCTGAGCTGCGTCACATGCCATTTATTTGTTGATATTCTGAAACTACTGGAAGCAGCTGCAATTTGTTAAGAACTTTACTTGATTTTATTATTGCCTTTTCAAGTGTGGGCATGAAGTGAAATGAAAATACGGTGCCCCTTTCTTTTGATTTGGAATAAATTCTCAAACATAACAAAATTGCGTCGGTCACAAAGACAATGTTATTTGGTTATTCTATTTGGGGAATTGTCAGCCAGGAAACCAGGAGAAACTTCCTTAGGTTCTTTAATGCCCCCCTGAACAGTCAGACAAAACCTTGGTTTAACTTCTCATCTGAAGGACTGCACCTCTGCGATTTCAGTACTCCCCCAGCACTGCATTGGAGTGTCAACCGAGACTCTGAGCTCAAATTCCTGACATGGGGCTTGAACACACAGCCTTCTGACTCAGAGATGAGAATGCTATGAAATAAGACAGCGGAGCACGTTTTCTCGGTAAATAAGCAGGCTCAAAGAAATGTGAAGTTAAAATAATGAGAAAAAAGTATTTACTGGTCAGAAAGTGTGAACTAAAGATGTCCAAGGAAAATTGAAAATGGCCTGTATGATTTATTAAAAATGGCATTCTGCAAGACCCGTTACCTTGGCTTAACCAGGGGCAACATAGCACCAATGAGTACATAGAGATGCCCAGGTACTGTGTAATCCGAAGTTCATCAGTGCTCAGGCCATGTCAAAGCTCTGCAAAGTCATCTCCTCATGACAAATCCTGTAGCTCAGTGGTTAGAGCATTCGCCTCTCAAGCGAGAGACCTGGGTTCGATTCCCAGCAGGGCAAAACCTTGGGCAAGTTTCCTTACTTCACACGCCTGATAATAATCCCTCAAGAAAAAAAAGCAATAATAAATTGGTCACTTGAATCCACGATTGTTTGTGGGACACTGCTGTTGGCAATTGGCTGCCATGTTTTGCCCACAAATAAACAGTCAGTTCATTTTACAGTATATTCTGTGAAGTGCTTTGAACGTCTAGAAGATGTGCAAAGCGCTATATCGAATGCATGTATTATTATATAAATGTCATTTATCTGTGCTGAATTTGCTGGTCTTAGCCAGAGCTGTCGGGAAGCTAAATTGGCCCCAGCTTTCCCAGGTACATGGAGGGGAAACCCAGCTAGGGTCCCTGCTCCTGGTATCTGCAGTGCTCTATAAAACAACAAAATTACATTTGTATAGTGCCTTTCACGTTGGGAGGACGTCCCAGGGTGCTGGACAATCAGTGTTTTGGATACGATCTGGGACCCGGGATCAGGGAGGGTGGAGGGCGGGGGGGGGGGGGAGGAAGGTGATCGAAGGCTCGGTCAAAGAGGAGGGTCTTGAGACAGGTCTTGAAAGAGGCAAGAGAGGGGACGAGATGGAGGCACTGCAGGATAGTGTTCCAGAGGGTGGGGTCATAGTGTCAGAAGGCACATGGCATTAGTGGAAAGGTAACTGCATGGATAGAAAGTTAGTAAAAAAGATAGGAATTGGAGGGTTGGAGTACAGGGTTGTTATTTGCAATGTAGAGATAAATAGTGGTGTCCCCAGGTACCATTGATAGGACTACTGCTTTCCTCCATGATTCTGGTATTCGGGGCACAATTTCTAAGTTTACAGATGACAAAAATGTAGGGATTGTAGCTAACAGTGAAGAAGATTGTAAGCAACTTCGCGGGAACATAGATTAGTTGACTGGACAGGGAAATGGCAAATGAAATTGAATGCGACGAATATGAGGGAATGCATTTTAGGAAGAATAAGAACAAGTATATTTTGGGTGCTAAAATATAAAAAGTAGTGGAATAGCAGAGGGCCTGGGGGTTTAATGTACAAAATTCTTTAAAGGTCGGACATCAGTTGGACAAAGCTGTCAAAAAGCTAAATGGAATCTTAGGTTTTATAAATAGGGTGGAGATTATTAGCAAAGAGATAATACTAAACTTATACAAATTGTTTGTTAGACTGTAGTTAAAATATTATGTCCAGTTTTGGTCACCCCACTTCAGGAGAGAGGTGACGGCAATAGTAGGGGTACAGAGGAGATTTACTCAGATGATGCTGGGGACGAGAGCTTGGCCTATGAGTGGAGACTGGAGGAACTGGGACATTTTTTGCCGGAAAAAAAATGTTGATGGGACACCTGATCGTGGTCTTTAAAATTACGAGGTGTTTTGATAGTCAATTGGGGTAATTATTTCTACTGGTCGGTGAGTCAGTAACTAGAGGGCACCAATTTAATATAGATTGTAAATGAGCAACTGGGGAGGTTAGGAGAATTTTTTTTCATACCCAGTAGTTGCAGATCATCCAAAACTCTGCAGCTCATGTACTCTGACGCACCAGGCTCTGTGACCCCATCACTCCCACCCTCGCCCGACTCCACTGGCTCCCCATCCCCCAGAGAATCGAGTTCAAGATCCTCATCCTCACCTTTAAGGCCATCTATGACCTTGCCCCTCCTACCTCTCTGACCTGCTGACTCCCTACCAACCTGCCCGCTCCCTCCGTTTATCGGGCTCCAGCCTGCTCCATGTCTTCCGCCCTACCATTGGTGGCCGGGCTTTCAGCCTCTCTGCTCCCACACTCTGGAACTCCATCCCACGGTCCCTTCGCCTCGCGTCCTCCCTTGCCTCCTTCAAGGCCGGTCTCAAGACCCTTCTCTTCGTCCATGCCTTTGGTCGCCCTCCCATCTCTCCACCTTCCCTCAACCCTACACCCCCCTCCCTCATGCTCAGGCCCCGATACCTGACTGTTCAGCGCTTTGGAAGGTCCTCCTGACATGAAAGGCGCTCTATAAATGTAATTTTGTTGTCGTTGTTATAGTTAGGATATGGAATGCTCTACAGGGAGCTGTAGTTGAGGCATAATCCATATTGGCCTTCAAAAAGGAACTAGACAAGTACATTAAAAATGGTCAGCTACAGATGAATAGTGAAAGGGCACGTAAATGGGACTGAAAGGATTGCTTTGAGGAAGCTGGCACGGACACAATGTACCACCTTCTGTGCGCTAAATTTCTATGGTTTTATGATTGTGCACTTGTGTATGGAAGCTGGATGGAAAGAGATCAGATTTGCTGTGATGCCCTCTATGCATAAGGAGCCTGCCAATGCTTTCTGCCAAGGCTCATGCTATAATGATGGCCATTTGGGTGAGCTACTGGAGGGCTACCACTGCCCAGCAAGAGGAGGCCAGACCAGGAGCAGTAAGGGCTGCAAGCTGTTTTCAAGCACCTGTCCAAATGCCGGCAAGGTTCTTTAGCTATTCTGATTACCCAGATGCAATGTGATGCTGGTGCATGAAGCATTATGTCAGAGTTTGATGTTTCTGTAGCAGATCCAGTTAAGTAGAGAACAAACTGACTTTTCCTGCCCTCAAATCTATTCCACTCTGTTGTAGAAACTGGATATAAAAAACAGTTTGTTTATATATCGTTCAAATGCAAAAGAAAAGTGTTACCACACAGACTGAGATGAATTAGAAATTGAATGTATCGTCAAAACGCAAAATACTGCAGATGCTGGAAATCTGAAGCAAAAACAGAAGTCTCTTGCAACACTCAGCGGGTCAGGCAGCATCTGTGGAGAAAAGAAAGTGAGTCAACGTTTTGGGTCCACAACCCTTTGTCAGAACTCCACTGAATGTATGGTGTTGAGCAAAGTGACAGGTAATTTGCCCGAACAACATCTTCCAAAAAACAATTCATTTGCATTTTGGATGAATTTAGATGAGGAGGGAATATAATAATAATAATCATTGCATTTGTTATGTCGTTGATATGTCACAAAGTGCATTAAAGGATTTTACTGTAAAGTGTAGTGACTGTATTTTGTAGGTGAACGTGGCAGCCAATTTGCACAGCAGTCTGCCACAAACAGCCATGAAATGAATCACCAATTTTTTATTTGTGGGATTGTTGGCCAGGATAACTCCATTCTTTTTTTGAACAATGCAATGGGGTCTTTAATATCCACCAGAACAGACAGATGGGACCTTGGTGTAACACTTCATCCCAAAGACAGCACCTCCAACAATGCAGTGCTCCACCAACACTGCACTGGAGTGTCAGCCAAGACTGTGAGTTCAAAATCCCCAAATAGGGCTTGAACCCATGTGAGGCTAAGCGTGCTACTAACAGAGCCAGGCTACTCTGGCATAAGCCTGTATAACAAGGGGAAATGGTGGAGGTGCTAGATAGGGAGAGGAGGCATGTTCTTAATGTTCACCTGAATTACAAAGCAGACTGGCCCTGAATGGCTCAACTAAAAGAGGAGGATGTGCTGGAGATAAATAACAAGCTTGGATTTAGTAGAAAATATTATGTAGGGAAATTAGCAGCCAATTTGTGACAGCAATGCCTCACAAACAACAATCAGATGAATAGTCAAATTAATTGAGTAAACCAGTTCTGCCGAAAGGTCACAGACCTGAAACGTTAACTCATTTTCCTCTCTCCATGAATGCTGCCTGACCCACTGCGTGTTCCCAGTGACTTCTGTGTTTATGTGCCTTTATGTAACATTTAAGTGCCTTTGGCAGGATAAATGTGGAAATTAGGGGGACAATGGTGTGAAGCAAATATAGCCCCAAAAGAGGCTCAGGATTAATCACGTCATGAATATGGATCAAAAGGAATGATTTCTATTCCATCTCAACTATCCATCAAATGGTAGCTTCTCTCACGTGAAAATAAAACTAAGTTAACATCCATTGACTTGAACAATATGAACATAATGGAGTAATAATCGTGAATGAAGCTAGATAAGTTACAGTATTACAATACTAACAACTTGTAAATCTTTGACCACAAGATATGGAGATATATTTTTCAGTTTGGGTAAGTGAATAGTCTGCAATATGTAGTGGCTAGCAGAGACATTTCTTAAATACAGTGTCATTCGTTTGCTTTTCCCTGAAGGTAAGCATCTGTTTGGAATGCAATAGCAGTAAGCTCCGTGGCTTGAAGAGGAAGTGGATTCGCTGTTCAGCTCAGGCTACAGTTCTGCACCTGAAGAAATTTATTGCCAAAAAACTCAACCTATCATCATTTAATGAGGTACTTATTTCATTGAAATGATAAATAACTACAATTCATAAAAGAACAAGTGTAAAGAAGTGAACACAGATTTTGGTTTATGTGCCTATCCTTTTCTTTCCTTCAACTGGAATGTATATATTTCTATGAGATACATAGCCAGGAACATCATTAGCTGTATGTTCCCAGCATCCTCAGGATATTTGACCCCATTAAACTCTACTTCTCTCTCATTGCTTATGAGCTTTTCAGCTCCTGCTGTTTCCCTTATATTATTTTCATTTTTTATCTGCTTTATCTTGATAGAAAATCAGGATCAATCTTTGGCATGGTGTCGCTTTCATTTTCTTCTCTTTTTTAAAGTGAACAGTTTATAATCTATAAGCAATGTATATTTGTGTGAGTAAACAATCTAGACTATGTAGAATGTCTCAATTTTTTTTAAAGCAAGAATTAACTGCACGTATACAAATTGTAGTATGCGTAAATAATATAACTGAGTATGAAACTCAGTCCTTAGATCTGATAAAAAAGCTACTATTTAGGGCACAACCATTCAGCAGATTTGAAACAGTAGACTCAGGATGAGCCCTTATATTGGATAGTGAGCAAACAGTATAAAATATCATAGATTATTTCTGTCCATTTATCTAACATTTTGTAATATTGCAACATTTTTCTGGGTACAATATGTTGATTTTAGTATCTGAGTGGTCTAAGGATTTTGATGTATTTGATTTAACGTACATGGTAAAATTACCTCGTAGATAGTTGCTTGCATGAGTGTGTCTGGCTAATGGAAATGCAAGTGTAAGATTGTGAATTTCTTGCTCTGGGAATCATTGCAGTTACTTTGTTGATTTAGTAGTGTTTTTCAAAACAAAAGAACAAAAGACTCTCGTCAAATGTGTTTTAACTACTCCACATTGATTGGGTCTATTATGCAAGTTGTGTAAACTATGTAAAAACACTTGCGCTCCATGTAAAGGATTTGTAAATGCAGGTTCATAGATAGATAAGATAAAGAATTATGACTACCTGCCCCCTACAACAGCGGTTTTAGATGTGGACTAACAATGAAAGGAAATTGATATTTTGCAATCCAGTCACCCAGTAGTGATTGTTTCTGTCTTTATATTTCTGTAGCTGGATATACTATGCAATGAAGAAATCCTTGGCAAGGACCACACTCTGAAATTTGTTGTTGTTACGCGATGGAGATTTAAGGTAACTAGATTGTCTTTGCCCACAACATACATTATGTGCATTATACTGGCTTTAGGAATCTACTTCTTGGGAGAAATGGATCACCTGACTCATTCATACCATGGCATAGATCTTGACTTTGAAGTTAACAGTTTCTATCATGGGAAATTATGAAGAAATTGCATTTTTAGTGCTGATAAAATAAAGAATTACCTTGCATTATAGGATATAAGGGCTAAGGATCCTAGCTTCAGGTCTTAATAATCCTAGTTTTAAATTGATCATGTATGTTAAGAAGTGGAACAAATATATTCCACCCTGAAAGATCATATACTTCCTCCTCTCATTCATCAGAATAGCTGGGGTCCACTTAAAGTGATTTATGAAAACATTACAGTACTTATTTTCTTGTGACTGCTTAAAGGGAGATGGCAATTTCAATAACCATTGAAATAATGTCCACTTACAGATTAAAAATGCAGAGAATGTGCCCAGGAGAGGTGTTACCAGAGCCAAAGACAAACTGCCTGGAGTTCTGCATATAATTCTGTTTGCCAAATTGCATCTATTACACCAGAAAAGGTGCAGTTACATTGATAAATAAAATGAGGAAATTAGGAGTTGAGAGGTTATGGAAGCTGGGAATGCTGGTACAGAGGAGATTGAAGTATTCATGATTTCAAAAGGCAATAATAGAACCCTAACAACATGTTTAGTATGGTTAAAAAAATAATAAGGGAGTATCAAATTCAGAAGAAGGAAGGAAAAGAGACTTTTTTTTTTACTTGACACTGAATAGTAAATATGTGAAATCGAATAGCCAGGGAGGCAGATTGTATTAGACAATTTGAGAAATTAGACATCTATTTAGGGTGAAATTGATTAAAGAGTATCAGAGATGGAGTTGTGTAGGATTATTCATTGATTTATTTTACTTTGGGCCTGGGCAAGATGGACTGCAATGATCGTTTCTTATCCTGACAGTCCTGTGTAAGAAACCAGATTGTTGATATGGATCCTGATAGATAACAAATATTAAAAATGGAGCTACCAACGGTATGAAGTGGTAGTTGTTGGATAACTTGTGAGAGACTTGAAACAATTGATTTTCTGAGGATTTGAAAGAACTAAGAGCATCACTTACTGTAAAAAGGCAGATGAAGATCTAATGATTCCTCCATTGCACTGAGCGAAGGGCATTGTATAGGCCGTGAGCATCAGAGCTGAAGGAAGTCGAAGATTGTGGAATGGAATTGTCAGTAATAGAATAGATAGGGTTGGATGAAGAGTGGAGAAGGTAATTGATGTGAATTAACAAGGCGGAAGAAAGAAGAGCCTTGGGGAACCTCTGATCTGATGGAAAAAGAATCAGAGGATGAACTATCAACTACTGCACAGACAGTGCAATTTCAGAGGAAGCTAGACAGCCAAGAGCATAACTATGGTGGAGTGCAAATCACAGTGGTGTCATATCTGTATAAAGTCTCAGGCCTCTGGGCATGGCTTTCATGTTAGTAAAGTACTGTATTGGCACAGTGTTGATTGAAACATGGAATGGCACTAAAGTCTATTTTTCAGGGGTAACATTTGATGATTGAAAGTGACCGTGTAAGACTTATGATTTACAATTTAATTTGTATTTACCCAACATGTTTGTTTTTTGCTTCGCAGTTAAAGGCAATCTCTCCCTGTGTTGTCACTTGCAAATGTGTTCCTGCTCTCAGCATTACACGTGCAGAATTAACCATCACGTGTTGAATCAGGATTTTTGGAGCTTACATTACATAACTGGAAAACACTAGCTTGCCCTTTAGTGGCATTCCAGTACAAATTCTCCAGGATTTTCTATGCTCCCAACAATCAGTCTCAAGTAGATGCGACATGTCTAATTGTTACAGTAGCTTCTGGTTAAAATCTTCTCTTATGCCACCTAATATTAAAAAAGCACATTTTAATATATATCATATAATTTCCTAGGTTGTAACTGGGCGAACTCTTGTTGCTATGCATCTGAACTATAAAATATGCAGCAAAGAGATGCACTTGCGTAGATTTTACAATACATAACATTAAGCTAAAATCTCAGTTAAATTCATTTGGTAGGGAATGAAATCAGATCCATGTAACTATTTCTTTAACACTGCAGTAATTCTCATTGCAGAATGTTTCAGGCTGCAAAGGGTTATTCACAAAAATATAATCATGGTCTACTGTAGAGAGGTTTTCTTATGTTGCCATTCTGAAATTCACAAAAGGTGTGGATGTATGAATGTGGTGGGTTTGCCAATATCACTGACTTTTATCCACTAATTGAAGGGATTCATCTTCCCATGCATCAGGCTTGTCAGACATCTTCGCAGAAAATATATAAGTGAACCTACCTTTTCCCATGCATGTGTCCTAATGAACATCTTAAAGTCACGTGGGGGTCAGTTGTAGCCTTTGTCTGCCCCAATACCTCCAGCTGACTCTTAATGGACACAATTAAGTTAACATCAGACTAGGAAGATTTGCTGAGTTTTTATATTAATGTATTGTCATATTGGATAAAGTACTTTTAAAAAAGCAGATTTGTTTACTATTATATTGAAAAAATGTAGTATATTTACAAAGCTGTTTTTTCCCTCTTTCTCTTTTTGAAGAAATCACCCCTCCTGCTGCATTATAGGCCTAAAATGGACCTGCTATGACATCAATTTTTAAATGACAGCAGAACTTCATAAGGTGCAACTTTTGCAGAGACTATCACCCAGCACTCAGTCAATGCATCACTGGATCTAGCATGTGGCACAAACCAGCAAACACACACCGGATCAGAAGTACTGTTCTACTGGGACTGGCACAACAAGATCTGCTTCTGTGCTGTCTTCTCAAAATTGTGTTGGAATCGCTCATGTTTAAGTGGGTTTACAGTCATAATATATTACAAAAAGGATCAAATGAAATTGCACCAAGACACTTTTATACCTGGTTTCTAAAAAATTGCAGTGTCATGAATTTGATGTGTTAGAAGGCTTTGTTATTGTGGGCACAAAAATCCTTTATAGTTTACATTTATGACTTTTGCTTTATCTTAGTAACTTGGTGAACCTACACGTAATTTTAAACCATTTTAATTATGCAGTTTATTAAGCTCTCGGTCACTTTGGCTTTCTTATTAAAAGGGCCGTTGGGATGGTTTATATGGGTGCAGTGTAACACTTAATGGTATTTTTTAAGAAAAATAAAAGCAGCTTTTTTTTTACACTACCGATTGCACAGCAAGGTGCAGTTCTGGAATAAAACGGGTAGTGTAATCACTGCTGGTTTGCACACTTTAGAAAGGTACTGGCACAGAATTCTGCCTCTCAAGAGGTGGGTTTCCTGCTACTGTTACTGTGGAGGTGCAGCACTAGTGTGACCGCTGTTTTACAGTCTCATCAGAATTGATCTAGTAGCAAAATTCAAGATTGCCTGGAAAATGGTCCCTGTTTGTATCTGCCCAATCTTATAAAAACAATCATCATTAATGAACTTCAGAAGTCTGTGTGGAGCAGAGTAAGCGGGGCAGCTCTGATAGTCATCTGTGTTTACCTCCGCAATTTTACACGAGTTACAAATGTGAACACTGCCCTTGTGAAGAACCATCCTCTAGAAATTTATCTCACTCATTCACAATTTCCTTCCCATTGTGCAAACAAAACCTTTCAAGTAAAAATCGCACATAAACAATATCAGTACAGATTTTCTTTGCTTGTATTGTATCATTTACTAGGTACAGTTATCTTCTGTCAGATCTTTCTCAATGATGGTTTTACTTAAAGAATATTCTCAGGAGAGGTGGTATACTTGTCTAAGCATAAAAATTCTAGTTAATGTGATGAAAATAATTTTGAGGGATTGAAAATAATGTTTACTGTACACATATAAATAACCAGAAATGTTAAACCCCTCTCCCCATTCCTTTGTCTATTCACCACCTAAACCACAATAGTATATTTTCATATAAAATGTTTGGTAGAAAAAGAATCATGATGTCATTAGCAATGCTTTTTCTAACCCTGTTCACATTCTGTGGGGTTGTGTCTTTATGATTGACATCTGCTGTTTGTTTTTTTGTACACGTTGAGTGCTCATTTTTTGTACACAAAATATTTTTGGGGACAGTGGATTAATATACAGGGGTTGAAATTGTGGTCATTGAAAAAATAGAAGCAAAACTGACGATTTAATGCCAGTAAAATGCTTCTTGACTTCCAGTTTGCCTTTTGCAGAGAACTCCACGTACATAACACTGACCTCGGCTGTTGACTCTGACTGAAGATCATATCCGAGTCGAGATCAGAGGATCAGCATGACGTACTGGGCTTCCCTACACAAGTCTCACTTTATATCCTAATGTGCCTTTGAGGCATAATTTTTCAATGATTGTACTTTCAACCCATTAATTCAAAGTGAATTTAGGCTCCCAATGCAAACCTGCCCACAGGATAGACCACGGGATGGCTGTTTTGGTAAATAGAACATGTCTTGCTGGTAGAAGCAATCTTCTGAAGTTGGAATCGACGCACACTGCTTGGATAAACTAGAGGGAACTGTGGACTAGTTGCATATAATTATGCTAATACCTTAATCTTAGGGTGGATGATACTCACACTAAGTGCTCAAAAATTTTTTTTAAAGTGTTAAGAAAAGTTGAGCATCAAGCATATACTAAGATAACATTTCTTGACTTTATGAATATTTAATCTGCATACAACTGCAGAATTCTTTATTTGAAATGTCTGACTTCACCTTTTGTAGAGTGGATCAAGTACTATATGTGGAAATATCCCAAGATCAGTGTTTTTAACTTCCCCTCCTCCTCACAAAATTAGAATTTGTATGAGTTTTAAATGAAATGTAATGCAACAGCTATATTTTGTTTAATGTCTCAAATTTGAAAAAGTTGCAGACAAGTATCTTTTACTGCATTCAAAGAATAAAATTCCACAAATAGAAGTTTACAATGTAAATTTTCTCTCTACTCCACCCACCCCCCAAAATAAAAATAATATTTAGGATTGGAATTTGTAGTCCCAGCTGTAAGAGGCAGTTCTTTAACAGGGCATTTGTGTCTTGGTCAATAATCCCATGGTTCATCCTTTTTTTTCACAAATGCTTTCAGCTTGTACACTAGAAGCTAATACAACTCTCAATATCACAATATTAGGAATCACTATTCATAATCTTAACCCTTTACTTATAAATACATTTTTAAAAATAAAATGTTAAAAACTACTTTTCTTTTACTCCTATTATCTCCTCTCGTTTTCCTCCCGTTCATTATTTTGTACAGTGAATAATGCCCTCTTTATTCTGAACGAGTTAAATATACTTACCTTTTTTATACTATGCTTCCTGTGTGCCAATGTCCACTGTTTCAGCTGGTTGAAGTCCAGACTCTGATTTTGGGTTTGAGTCTCATCTCATGAGAATCAATTCTTTAATGATTCTTTAATGTGATTTAGCGGGGCCTTCACAGTGAGGGAGTCACCTTATCCATGATGCTGGTAGCCTGATTTCTGTTGGACAAAAAAATTCAGCTGTGGTGCAGTAAGGGTTAATTATCTTGTCCTTATAATGGAAACCAGAATCATTATGGTCACTGCCTCTCAAGTGCTAATGGCAGTCTCATTAGAAGAACTGGACTTTGTCGGATTTTGTTTTGCCTTAACCACTCCTCTCTTCCCACTCAGAAGATGATAAATAAATTCAGCCACCAAATTTAGCTGGAGGCTTGGGAGGTTAGATGACCTAGTACATCTGCTGGCCAGATATTTTAATACCTTTGCTTGTTACTTTGAGAAGAAATCTCCTCAGTGATGAATTTTTCAGTGACAGTAAGTCCACCATTTTAATAATAATCCTTACCTTGATATGACCCCTATCATGTCAAGATGTCTCAAAGTGCTTCAAAGCGTCTTTCTTAAAGTGCAGCTCAGTGTACTTATAGGCTTATATTATACAGTGGTGGCCAACCAAATACATTTTTCTTGATTTATAGCCACACCATGAATATTGCTACTCAGTAGCTACTGGAAACAAAATATTGTTTAAGCACACACGTACCTAGACAGGTGTGAATGTTTGGTAGGCCACTTCTTCATGGATTGGCCACTACTGCAACAGCAACGGTCCCACAAACTGAATGACCAATTTTTTTTGTTGGATAATTGACCAGGACACAGAGAAATCCCCTTCTTTTAAACAAGCAGATGGTGAGAGCTTGGGTTTAACATCTCACCTGAGAGAAAACATCTCTTGACAATGCAGTGCATTGAAGTGTGATATGCACACTATCTCACGTGCAGTGCATATGAGCTCAAAATCCCACTGTGGGGCTTGACCCCACAACTTCTGACTTACCCTTTGATAACAAAAATCTATAGCTTCTGGTATCTTTCTGTGTGTGTTTGTTCTGTCACTTTTCCTAGTCTTATTATTTATTCTGTATTAATGTACATATTCTTTGAATACAATGACTCACTCAGCAGTTACTCCAGAAGCCTTAAACTTCCACTCGCCTGAGTTGGAGATATGACATTTGTAACTTGTTAATTTACTGTTTTGCTTAGTCAGTGACTTTCCGTTAATCGTTTTGCTTGTGTTAGTCCATTTCCCACATTCACTCCACATCTGCCAGTATTTGAGCAATTGAACCCAGAGGAATAAGGAGGGAACAAGAAAGAAGGAGTTGAAGCTTCAAACTCAGCCATTGGTTATGTCACTGGATGCTGACCATCAGATCTTATTTGAACTGTTACCCTTTACTTAGACTTTACTCTACTTGTGCAAATTGAGCTGTTCTGAATTGTGGCTGTATGTGTTTGATGTAGTCCATAGAATCACGGAAATGTAAAGCTCTGAAGAATGCCATTCAGCTCATCATGTTTGTGCTGGTTCTATGATGAGCAATCCATTCAGTCCCATGTACCTGTCTTTTCCCCATATTTCTGCAGAATGCAGAATCTTCCTATAGCAGTTCCCCCTTGAAACCTAATATGGATTTTGACTCAACCACTGCATCTGGCAGGAAATTTCATGACCTTCCAGCTCTTGTCCTAAAAAAAAAAGTGTCCTAACCTCTCCTTTTGCTTCTTAGGTAATTATCCTAAATTCATGCCCTCTTGTCACTGACTCACCAATCAATGGAAATAATTTCTCCCTACCAACTCTATCCAAATCTGACTTCTGGAGCTTGCATTTCCACTTCCAAGTATAAATCTGAAAAGTTTGTTGCTGGTCTGAACTACAGACTTAACAAGACCTGGAGTTTTTCCCAATCGCCATAAAATTCAGTCAAAACCAAGGGTTGTCAAAAGTCTGCTTAACCTGTCAGACTATTGATCTTTCACTTCATCTGATATTCATCTCACAATTTTATTCATACTTATTTTTACTCTTTCTGCTTTTTTCATATGTCTGTCTTATCACTGCCCCCTGTGATCCTATCCAGTTATTTTTTTCATTAATGGAAATAGTTCCTGCAGAAAACCATTGTAACACAGAAAGGCTCTTCAATGAATTGGCTACAGATAGACCGTTTTGCTAATAGGTTTCATGGGGAACCTTATTAACAAAATCAGTCCATCTACAGCATACTTAATGTAAGATCTCAGAACCTCAGGAAATTTGTTTGAGGTGAATCCAACATCTGCATAAATCATAAATTTTGTTCCACAGTCGGATCCCTTCAGATAGTTTCTTTAAAAATATCTAGCTTTAATTTGTGGTGCTAAAATCAAACTAAGAATATAAAGATTCTGTCCCTCATTATATACACCATGCTTGGCTTAAAATGTATCTGTTGTGGGTGTTGCACTTGAGAATTATTAGAAATCTTTGAAAACTTTAATACACATGATGTAGCGCATTTGTTTTTGCAGACCTCAGAATAGAAAACATTAGTGCAGTGTCTGAAATGTGTGGTTCAAGTTCTGAGCACTGAAATGCATGAGACTTGGATTTTGCCATATTTATGTGTGAATGGGCAGCTTGGTGTTGAAAAGCATGAGTCTCATGCCAGATAGCTGAGATTTGATGACTCTGAATGTAATTATTAAACTATATAGCTTGCATATTATTGGTGACAAGCTTTTTTTTTAAAAAAAGAAAAAAAATCTGTTTGTGAAAGGATTTTGGTTGAATGTATACCCCTGCATTAACTTTAGAAAATAATGATATGGTTGATTGAGTATGTGGAACAGTGCAGATAAAAGATATGAGTGCCTTTAACAAGTTGTTGTTCACCTCTGTATTTCATTATTAGTAATGAACTAAACACATGTTCTAAATGAATCAATCAGCTGTTAATTCCTGACTGTTGTGCCATGATGATACCCCAACCTTTGCATTTACTGGTGCTTCTGAGCTATTGGTTGTACCAGCTTTGGTGCAGATTTTCCTTTAACCAGCCTACTCTGTACCATTATAAAATGCATCATTTCAAACCTCTTTAAGTAAGAAAGCCAAAGCATAGTGAAGATGAATGCTGGGGAATTGTTTCTTGTAGCAGTCCTAAAGTAAGTTCCTTAATACTGTGAAGGTAGGTATTGAATTTTGGTTACATTGTGTTATTAAATGTTAAGGATGTGCAAACAGTTCAGATGTCTTAATTGTTTCAGGGTCAATTTTTAATGGTTTGGTATTTTCCCTCTAAAGCCGAATTATTTTCAAATGCAAAAAAGTAAAAAAGGGTCCATATATGATTGAGCATCCATGGAAGATGTCGAGTCTGATCAGCTTGCGCATCCTGATTAAATGTTTACCTGTTACATTGTTTTTGATATGAGTAGCATAATGTCCCTGATTGTGCAGGTTTCAGCTTCAGTGTGTGGTATCAGAACTGTATTAGTTATCCAGTTTTTACTCAAACCTGATTCAGTGCTTGTTTATTGGCTGCGGAGCCTTCAAAGAAAAGATATTGTAGGTAGTTTTTTTTAAAAGGGGGGGGGGGGGGGAGAAGGGGAGAACCTACAGAATT